GAGCCTCACCTACGTTTGATGCCTTATCTTTTTACTTTACTATGTATAATAAACATGTATATAGGATGCGACGTATTACACACACATACCATAAAAACGGTACACACACTAGTCTAATAAGCCAACTATTAGGGTGGCGATACAACCCGTCCAATTGTAAAGTGAGCAATGTAAGTAAGCAACAACAAGCAACCTCAGCTTCGCGCTTCGCCGCTCTGATTCGCCTGGATTTCCGTTTTTCGGGTTCTGCAAGGAATTTGCGTGTTGCTTTAAGCTCGCCGGCTTCGATCATCTCGTTGATCATGCTGCGCAAGCGCTCCTCATCCTCATAGGTAACGCCCAGTACAGTGTCCAGAATCTTGCGCATATCTCCATTGTGATTTATGTACGCTTCCTTCACCGCGCTCCTTTCTTCGCCGGAATCTGAAAATATCACACTAACAGTTACAGGATTTTGACTTTTTGAAATGGCCAGCAACATTTCCGTAGCTAAACTTCAGTGATTCTGCACGCTGCAAAATTTTAGAAGAGAAAAATAACAAAAACTTTTCTTTCTTTTTCAGTACCCGTACGATCTTACATAAGCTCTTACGGCAAGTCTTTAAGCCTAAAAAAATTTAGATATTTGGTCGGTGCGTTCAGGAAAACAGTGGATCGCCAAGAAGCTTCAGAATCTGCTCCAATGTAGTTTTTCTTGCAGCAAGTCTCGCCGAAACGGTCCAAAACGAAGTATGCTTCTCTGCGATGGGCTACCATGGGATCTCAGTGCGTGAAAGCGAAAAAACACATAAAAGCCCTCTGCATTTTGTTAAAGTGGCTTTTTGACCCATTACTCATCTCATCAAAAAGAAAACAAAATTCTAGATTCATAACCAGCTTGTCTTTGAGATTATAATGTTAGAAAACTTGATGAGGTCATAAGTTGTGGAGTACGAAAAACAGGAAATGCAGTTTCACGTTATCCGACTCACATAATGCTTTGAATTAAAATCGAAATTTCCGACAGCTCGCACCAGTTTAAAATAAATGGCAACGCGCACCAGACTAGCTA